TAAACAAGGCTGGCCCCAAAACAGAGACCTGGGGAACACCGCTCGTGACCGGCCGCCAACTGGACTTAACTCCATTTACCACTACTCTCTCGGCTCAGACACCCCACCAGTTTTTTATCCAGCAAAGACTATGCCCGTCCAAGCCATGAGCCACCAGCTTCCTAAGGAGAATGCTGTGGGACACTGTGTCAAAGGCTTTACTGAAGTCCAGGTAGATGACATCCACAGCCTTTCCTTCATCCACCAGGTGGGTCACCAGGTCATAAAAGGAGATCAGGTTGGTCAAGCAGGACCTGCCTTTCATGAACCCATGCTGGCTGGGCCCGATCCCCTGGTTGGCCTGCACATGCCTGTTGAGCGCACTCAATATGAACCATTCCATAATCTTTCCTGGCACCGAGGTCAGGATGGCAGGCCTGTAGTTCCCCAGATCCTCCTTCTGGCCCTTTTTGTAGATGGGCGTCACATTGACAAGCCTCGTGATATAAAATCCCAGCTGATTTTTGTGTGACATCTCCCAGCAGCAAAAGCAGTTTAGGCAGATCTCAAGGGGACTCAAGAGGAGCAGAAGAGGAGGTAGTGTGATAGACAGTTTTGTATGGAGGACTATGGCAAAGGCCTGTTTCATGCCTGAAGTTTGCTTTTGCTGGGGACAGAAGTGTGACTGCAGAGGATAACTCTGCCCACAGTGCCAAAACAATCAGGAATTCTCTGGATAAATGATGTCTCCCTTTCTAGGTTGGGGTGTTTCTGCAGTTCCAACAACCCAACCAAGTGAGAGAAGAGGAAATCATGACACCAGTACCAGTATCCTGTGTGCTGGGGAATCAGTAATTAGGAGGCTTCTCCAGGCAGTTCTGCTTCATGCATTAGCAGTCTGAAATTGCAATGCCTCCCACCCCAAACACTCCAGACAAGTATATGCACTTCTTTGGGCATGAACACACACAGAGACAGATGAATAGGTAGCTTAACAATCTGGAGGAGCTGGGCACTGGCACCATGTGGTTATCATCATGAGCCTGGGAAGAAACTTGATCAGGAGAGAGCCTGGACCCATGGGTAGGCAGTGGAGATTCTCCTTAGAAATTTGCTAGGCCAACACATCATCTTGCATCTTGGTGACACTCCTTGTCTAGCTGTTCTCACAGCATACTTGCCATGAGTGGTTGTATCCTGTTGGTGCGCCCACATTCCCACACCTCTGTGTTGTACCCTGAGGTTTGATCACTGCAGTCCAGCAATGATGGGCTGCAGCTCACAGAATTTGCTGCAGTTTCACAGCAGCTTTGTCTGATGCTAAAACAATCTCTGTCCTCAGAGATCTCCTTATCTTCCTTGTGATGTAGCTAATCTCTGGTCTCTGCATGAGTTCTTTCTTTCGCCTTGGCTATGGAAGAATGGGAAGAAAACAATCAAACAAAAATTTTGCCTCTAATTGAAGAAGAGTAATTTTTCAGGGTCCCAAATCATAGTTTATTTCAACTTGTCTATAGGAAGAGGAGTCAAGTCAATGCACAATGGGGTGGCAATCTGGGAGAAAAGAGGTTGAAGGTATTTCCACTTTGCTGTGGACAAGTGAGTCACCTGGGCCAGGACATAGCTGTGCCTTCCAAGATATGCCCAAGAGACCTGAGCTGAATCAGAGCAGGAAACTGTTGCTTGCTGGTATGCTTCTTGGCCAAGAACGTAGTTTTCTTGGAGAGCAGCTGCACTGGACAGGCCTGCCCCCAGCTACAGCATCAAAACCAAACTTCAGGACACACCACAGTCAAAGCTGGAGTGCTCTCTGGAGAGGTAAGTGTTGAATAGAGGTGATGGTCTGAGGGGAAAGAAACACCTTCCTGTGGTGTGGACACAGCTGGGCATATGGTGAGCCAGCCCCACTGAGTACCCCAGCCTCAGCTCCTGGGAAGTGCAGGGCATGCCTGTGGTGGTATTTGGAGCTGTGCCAGGCAGGGGTGTGGATCTGAGTATCTGCACCACAGAAACTCTGCAGCCCTGCTTCTCCATCCCTGCTAAGGCAGTAGCACCACAGGGTCCTGCACCTGCAGGCTAACTGCAGCAAGCTGGGCACCCTGTGGCTCCCCAAACCACTTTGAGACCAGCTGGGTGAGGGCTTCTTTTTTTCTGTTGTGAGTCAGAGCTGCTTCCCCATGGCCTCTGCATGCAGGTTTCTGAACCTGCAGACTCCTGCTCTGTGCAGACGTGGCGTGAACTCCTTCTCAGGCAGCATTGTTGTCATTTAGCCATGTGCTAGCTTTTTCCCAAGGCCAGCCCTTCCTTCCCTTTCAGCCTGAGCTAAGCTACATAACGCCAAGACTCTGAAGGAACAGCACTTCCAGCACCATTTCAACATTGCTTTGCAGTAGCAGCAAATACAACATAAAATCCCTCCAACTACTGCATGCTGTGTGATACTGGAAATCATCTTGTTTTGACCAAATAGCTAGAAGGAAAAACTTGTGCTTTTGGTAAGCAGTGTTTGTCACCAGCAAAATAAGAGCAACTATCTATCATTTTGACTTCTGTTGTTGATCAGTTATGATGAATGCAGGAGGTCTATAGGTTTAAAAGATAAAAAAGAGTCATTATTGTCTGTGCCATATAATACAGTTCAGTGGTTTTGCACTCAGCTCACAATCTACTCCATAAATTTTGTGTTTATTTACCCCAAGAGTCTGGGTTTTCTAAAAGAAATAGAAACTCTTCCACCTGTAATCAAACTGTACTTTGAATCTCATCCTTTTTTTCTCTTCTTTTCCCTTTCCTTCCCCCTTTTGTTCAAAGGATGAGAAGAATCAAGTGTTGATCACAAATGCTTGGCTGCAGATGGTGAGTAACCCATGCCAATAAAGAAAAAACCCCACTTCCTAATGGCAAACTACTGAGTGTGATTTCTTAGCTGAAAAGCAAGATTGCTGTCTTTTAACTTGTCTATAATGTGAAACAAGCAGGCATTTTGAGTCCTTTGAAATTTCTCTAGTGCTCCTTTTAGCCTTGAAAATTAAATGCAGGAGACTACATTAATGCCCAGAGCAGACCTGTTGACCTTTGGAGGGTGAAACCAACTATGTTTTTAGGCCAGTAGATGTAGGGTTCTACTAAAAGAGAGCCCAAAGTTATGGTTACACTGTAGCAGGAGAGACTCTTCAAGGGGCTCAAGGCCCTCTCCAAGGCCAGTGATGGGGACTTGTTGTGAAGGAAACAGACACCCAGTAAGACCCAGGCACCCTGCACTCATGGCTTCTGGGCAAATCCCTACCTCTCTCTGAAACAGGGAGCCAGGGGTGCTCCGTGGAGGGCAGGGCACAAAGATCCCCAGCACTTGCCCCTGAACACAGACAGAAGCAACACAGCCATGCTGGACCATGTGGAGACTGCTTGGGCTGGGTGGTGGGGTGGCCAGACACCACAAGGAGCCCCATGCTGCATTGCTGCTGGCAGTGCCCAGGCACATCCATGGGAACATTGCCTTCCCTCATGCTTTACAAACCTCATCCATAAATGTTCCTTCTCCCTCTTCTGCAACGTGCTCCAGCTGAGGAGTGACCTGCACTGGTCATGCAGGATAAGCAAAACTGATCTTCACTGAAGGTTTTGGGGGAGGGAGCTTCCCATCAGGTCTGCTGCTCGCCACATACCGTGAGAGATATGGTCTTTTCTTAAGACGCGTAAACCAATCTCCTTAATGGCTTGTGCTCAGTAAAGATACAGCTCTGGAGGGAAAAGCCTGTGGGAGACTTGAATGATTGAACTAATTCTGCTTTGACTTTAGCAGCTGAACACTATCTCATGTTAATGGGTGCAACTGAACAGGCTGTTTCTTCCTCAGCTACCTGCTGGGATTTGCAGCAGAAATGAATTGTTTTCTATTGCAAAAGCTAACCCAGACCAACCCATAGGACTACAGGGTTGTTAGGACAGAGCCTGTGGGTGTCCTGTCCCTTGCAGAGGTGTTCTTCAGTCATAGCACTGATGACTGTTTCCCTTGCAGACTTCCCATAGAACTTTGCTGTAAGTCACAAGGTTCAGCACAAAAGCTGTGCCTGCACCTTTCTTGAACTGATCAAAGAGGGACTCTCAGACTATGGTCCGTGTACCACTGATGATACCCAAGTCATTCAAACCACCTCTGCTCAGAACCAGCGTGCCTCATGGAGGTGCCTACCACCAGTGTTTCTGCCAGTGCACCAGAATAGGTTTGGGATGCCTGGCTTCAGGTCACAAGGTGGAAGGGTTAGACACTAAATCAAAATACAGCTCACAGCATTCAGTCATCACACTGTGGATTCTTTGGTAAAAATGCCAACCTTTCTTAATAATTAAAACCAAATGTTAAACTATTATCATACTACTGCTATTGCTACTGGCAAAATTCATTTTGTTCCCATAATATTCCAGACAACTTAGAAAACTTTTACCAGCTCATATAATCTGATATATGTGTTTGCCAACAGTACTGGGTTGATGTTTACTTGTCTTGGGATCAGTATGAATACCCAGGGGTGCAGAACTTGCGATTTCCAGCTGACCAGATTTGGGTACCAGATATTCTACTGTATAACAGGTAAGCAAGAAGCGTAACGGCCAGTGGGACCCTAGAACTAGAGCATTAGATGCTGGAAATCAGCCATGCTTACTGACATTCTGGGTCTTTTGCAATCTGGGGATTTGGCGCTTGAAACAGTAACAATAAAAGCAAACAAGCACCAGCTAATAGATTTTTCTAATAGCCAATCTAAGTTGTCTTTGCTGTAGTTCTGCAGATGTCTTGTTTACCTTTTCACAGTTTTCCCAGTGAACGCAGAGAGAAAACAAACCATATTCTCCTTATAATTACCATAGCTTTCCTGGAAAATTATTATCACGTCTCTACCATAATGTTCCTGCCTGAACTAAATAAATAGATTTTCTTCTTACTTTCCTCGTCACTCATATTTTATAAACTTCTCCATCATTTCTCTTCCCCTCTGAACACTCTCTAATCTGTTTTTCCTCCTAAATCGAGCTCTCTAGTCAGCACTTCTGCAGTGTTGAATGGAGTGGAAGCTCTGCAGACAGATGTTCCCTTAATGCTTTCCAGGAGGCGGCGAGTTTTGGTTTTGCTCTAACTTCTTAGTTTTTTACTTATTTTTTGATTTGTCACAAACCCTGGATGTTGCACTTCATCCTTGCTGTCTTACTAAATTTTCACTGATCTGTCTTCCTCTGACAGTTTTAAGGGTAACGCTTTCTAGTCATCCAGATTGAATTACATTCTGTTGGTTTCCCAGTTCACCAAGATCTATTTTCTGTTCCAAGTCCTCACTACAAGATATCCAAAGGAGACTTGGAGTCACCTGGATTGTTCAAGTGTTCTTCTTTACTTCAGCTTTACTCCTCACAGTCTCTTTATTCATTTTCAGTCTCTAAAACCAAACCATATAGTCTGGTCCATATTACTGTAGTTTGTTTATAAGAACACGATGCGGAAACACTTTCTGAAGTTCAGATATATCACCTGCCTCCTCTTAGTCAGTAAGAAAACTAGATTGATTTGATGCAGTTGGCCCTTGACAAATCTGTGCCAGCTGTTTTCACCTTGTTATCTTTGAAGTTAGGCTGATGTGTCTATAATTTCACCTTTAAAAAAAAAAATCAGAATTCTCTTTGATATTCCCTAGCTCACTGAGCCCTTCCCTGTTCTCCACAAGCTCTCACAGATAATTGTTAATGCTTCAGAGGGTATTTCGGCCAGTCCCTTCAGTTCTCAAGAGTAAATTTCATCAGCCCTGCCAACTGGAATCTGTCTTATCTACACTTGTTTAACATGTTCCTCCCCCATTCTGCCCTGGACTCCTGCCACTGTGTGAGAATTAATTGTGGTGAGCTGCAGTTTGTGAGGAGTGAAGCACAGAGGGTGCAGGATACTGCAGCTTTCTGAACCCTGTTGTTTCCTTTCCTCCCATAACAAGGAATGGATCTGTCTTGTCCTTTGTCTTTTCTTTGTTTCCTTGCATTTATAAAAACTTTTATTGCTGCCTTTATGTCTTTTGATAGTTACCACTCATTCTGCACTTAGCCTTTTCAATTTTATCCCTTTTGTTTTGTGCTGGGGACAATACTGAGGACTGATGACTCAGACATTAATAAAAAGCAGGTCATAGGAGGGACAGAGGGTCTGAATCTTCCACCTGTGGTTGTGAGACAGGGTGTGTAAGATGGTATAGTCATGCAATATAGACCTGCACATAGCCATGACAGGCAAGGCTCTACAACATCAGCCAGGGGAACCATTCATAGTTAAGCTCTTCCAAGAGACCCTCTAGACCAAATCCCCAGGCCTGCTCCTTTGAAGAATTCTTGTCCTTGCCTGGCTCATTACTCCCTTATTTTTCTCAGAGTTGCTGGAATCCTAAAGAAATTATCTTTTCTTGGTCCCTTTCACCTGGTTTCTGCTCTTAGAGTCTCAATGGATCTCCTCCTACAAGCCCCAAATCTAAAATAACTTCTCCCCAGTGCTTTCCTCTATTGCTTGGTAGCAAACCCTTGGCCCCTCTGCATCCTAAGAGACTGTGAAATTGTTGCCTCAGGCCACCATTACTCTTAAAACCGATATCTGGGTAACAGATGATTTACACTATGAGCTGCCTGATTCTGACAGCAGTCCCAGAAAAACCACATCCTGCCGACTGTCCAGTGTTTGGGTACAGCTACTGTGACACTTTTGCTCCTTTCACTTCTGCGTTTGCTCTGAGACATCCAACAGCTCTGCTTCTTACTTCTTTTAGGACATTGCGGCATGCAACTGGTATGCCTGGGTGCAGGCCAACAGTGTCTATGAGAAGCCGAGATACTGATCACAGGTGGATTGTTCACCCAGGCATAGGACCTTAATTCAGACATTCTGTGCATTAAATTCAGCCAAAAGATTATTTTTATGCTGCCAGTTACTATATCTTAACTCAAACATCAGCTTGCTTTTTCTTTTGTTTTGTTTATACTGTGTTACAGTGCGGATGAAAGATTTGATGCGACATTTCACACAAATGTGCTGGTGAATTACTCTGGATCCTGCCAATATATTCCTCCAGGTAGGGCACATAGAGTTTTTGTTTCCTTTAAGTCAATGTGTTGCTTTGAATAACTACAAGCAGTTTTTCTTCATGAATGAAACCAAGGTGTTTAGAAGCAGTCTGTGCAAATTTTGCAAGCTGTGTAATTATGGGACAAACACACTGAAATAATTTAGGTCCATTATTAGTGGTGTATTTCCACTTCATGAATCAATAAATCACTCTCCTGAGCAATTTGCTGAGAACATTCACAGGCCCAACTGAAGTGTCATCTAAAGCAAGGTGGTGTGCACTCTCACATCATGTTTCATGTGCAATCCACTTAGCTCTTTTTTGAAGTGGAGAGATGTGTCACCACAGGAAACCCTGAAAGCATCACTCCCTCGGCAGTGAAGTCCTCCCTGCCAGGCTGACACTACAACTCCAGGTGAAAAGACAAACTGAGACTGATCTCAGCCAGACAGACCTGAGTCTCAGCCTGCTTTCCATCTGTATTGCTGATTCAGTGCCTGTAGGCCCCAGCAGCCAGGGCCTACCAGCAAATACACAGGTTGTCCTCACAATCACTCACTGTGGTGGACAAGAAATGCCCAAACTTTGTGTCATAGTTGCTGAGAGATTGACAGCAAGCGTGTCCACAGGGCCCACCAGGAACAAGTGCGTCTTCCTTGATGGCTGGTCCTCTGTTGATCCCTACACCTGAGACCCATTAAAGCATCCCTGTGGTTTCTCTGGGACAGACCCAGCAGTAAGGTTCTCTCCAGGGAGCAACATGAGACATGAATAAAATTGACATGTACCAGAGCAGAGCGTTCTCCATCCCTCCGGGTAGGGAGGTGATGCAGAGTGTGCCTATATGGACAGATCTGGTGTCCTGCTCACCTCTTGGTGAGCTACAAACTCCATGATGAAGAACTGGTTACTTAAGAACCCAAGGAAAGCATAAATAGAGAAAAAGTAATAATGGAAATCTGTTGTGTAAAGCACAGGAAATCCTTTGTTACAGGGATTTAACTGCTGCCAAACTGTTTTGCAAAGTTTTAGAAAGAAAAAGTTGATAATCAGCCTACTGACTGGCAACAAGGGCTCGCAGAAACAGCTAGATTAATCAAGACACTGGAAAACATGCAAGAGTAGAAAAGATGGTGTTTCCGAAGCTTCCTGAAAGTTTTATTGCCCATGACTGAGAGCAAGCTATACTCACTGCTGCTCTCTATTTGAGAAACAAGATAGGTGGAAGAGTAGAGAGAAGGGACAAGATGGGGACAGCTGTCTATTGTTAAGGAAAGGAGCAGAGCCAAGATTCAGGAGAAACTGGGAGAAAAGCCTCCGTGTACCCTATACAAGAATGGCCATGATGGTGGGAGTCAGACCTCCCAGAATGTAAAGGGACAAATGAAGGAACCCAGCCACTCTAGAACAGCAGTGTTTGTGCAGGGACATGGTCTTACACACATGGTTATGCCACAATACCCTCAGCCTTTGCAGCAGCAGGCAAAGACAATAATCAAGGATATCTGTTTTGAGGATTTTATCTTCAAGAGGCATGGCTCAAGCGCTTACTGCAAAACATCAAACTCAGCTCAGTTAGGTGACTCAGCTGGGATTCACCTTAGCTGGTGTTTTAGGGAGCACACAGAAACAGTTACTGCAAACAGGTAGGCTAAGTGCAACATTGGAGGTAATTTTCCAACGAAGCAAAAGCTGCCTCTCTTTGACACAGCACCTCTGAGCTGGCCAGCACGTGGTGAACTAATGAGATAAGATGAAAGCTGCAAAGCTGCAGACCCACAGGCATGAGGGTTTGCAGGGATGAACTCTGTGCTTTGCCACCAGCTGCCAGTAATGTAGTCTGTGCAGATCATCTTCCCCACTCTCCAAGCCCTCCATGCTGCTGGATGGCCGGGGAAGTCCCACAGCCATAGCTGTGGCCCCAAGAAGAAAATTTGGAGCATCCATTATTTTTTTTTTAATTCTCTTAGCTGAATAAGAAAAAAAAAAAAAAAAGGAAATAATTAGATTGCAACAATATACAAGTATTAATCTCCTAAACTGCTTAAGACATCTCATGAAATAATGATAGTGGATTGGAGACATCCAGAGTAAAATTCAAGGCTGAGGTTAACATACAGAAGATAAAGGCCAGCACCAAGCAAGGTTTAGGATAACAATGTATTTTCAAGGGACTGTGGGTCTAATGCAGGGCCTAACAAGGAACTCCTTTCAAAGAACTTGTCGCAGTGCTTCCAGCCACAGTGCATGGACATCTATATACTCTACACTCCTGTCAGGCCCTGATGCACTGCCTGTGATCTGCTGGGGCCAGCCAGCATGAGGACACAGGCTGGGCTGCTTCTGGGTGGCTACAGTGTCCTGGGCAACCTACCTCAAGGATGCAGTGAAAGAGGGCGGGATGTTCACTGGTGCCCCAGGAAGGGAGGCTATTCCACTCATGGCAGAATCTTCTACCTGTGTTACTTGTTTGGTTACCCCATGACTTTTGGAGAAGAAAGTTGCTCACAATCGATCAGACGGGTCAGGGCAATGAATTGCACCCTGCACATGGTTGATTCTGACTGATTTCTGCCCACAGGCATTTTGAAGAGCACATGTTACATTGATGTCCGCTGGTTTCCCTTTGATGTGCAGAAGTGTGACTTGAAGTTTGGCTCCTGGACTCACAGTGGCTGGTTGATTGACCTGCAGATGCTTGAGGCTGATATTTCCAACTACATCTCAAATGGGGAATGGGATTTAGTGGGTAAATCGTCTGGCCTAAAAATTTCCAGTAGTCTAATTTTCAAAGGCAAACCCCAAATACACAGAAATGATCAATCCCACTGGGACATGAAATACAGGTATTAAAAGTTTCTATGTAAGAGGCAGCAAAACAAAAGAAAAAGAAATCACAGATCAGAGACAGCTTTTCAGTCACATTAATTGAACTGTGTCTGAAAAAACTGTGTTCTGAAACAATTGCCTGCAACTGAGTATGTAAATGAAATCTACTGGTCCTGATGCATCTGAGCAGTTTGTCAGTACTAAACTTGGATGTGTCTCATGTAGGTGCATGGAACACTACTGTCACATCTAGTTTAACATGTCAGCCAAAAATTGATTGGTCTAAAAAACAGTATTTCAGCAAAATTGGAATGAGCTTTTACAGAGATGAATCTCTCTCACCTAGAAAACCAACGAAGTGTCTACCAGTTCATAATAACTGCAGTTCAGTATGTTTCTCTGCCCTTCTGTGCTTTGGAAGAAACCTGTATTTTTAAAAGAGGAATCTATGCCCAGAATTACTTATTTGGAGTGAGCTCCTAGTGAGTTATTTTAAACCCATTTATGTAGGTGTAAGTGAGAAGTACTGTTATGGAAATTGATAGAGCTTAGACTACCGTAAGGAGAGCATGCAGAAGGGACATTTCACCTTCTAGTCTGGATATGTAGACAAGGAAATAACTGTCACTGACCAGCTGCATGCAGTGGTTTTACCATTCAGGACATCTGAGAAATAATACAATAAGAAACATAATAGGTATTCAGTTTCATGACATGCTCAAGGATTCTGTAGTGAAGTCCTCCTAAAGTCCATCCGTTTCAGAGCATTCCTGACTTTCCAGTGCTCCTTTATGGTGGTTATTTCTGTCCAGTAATTTTGCATATCTGATTAAGAGACTGGCCTGTGATTTATCTGCCTTCAGCCTGGATGGACAAAACCGGCCCTTAGCTAGCTCATACAGCAAAAGCATTAAGTAACACCTCAGGCAAGTCATGGCCTTATCCTTTATGGAGACTTTGCCACACTCCTGACAAAATGTACACATTGTCACATCTTCTGTCATATGCATAGAAACAAAAAAGAGGTGGTCTGTGGTGGCATGAAAGTTACGAGGTGCTGAGTTCTTTCATAGAATCATAGAATCGTTTAGGTTGGAAAAGACCTTTAAGATCATCCAGTCCAACCATAATCTTTGGCAGCTCCTTGAAAATCTTTCCTTGTTGAGGCTGGGATGCTCAGATCTGTTTTGATCTGGCCCAGATGATCTTTCTTGTCTAAGCCAGGTTCTAATGACTCAGAAGGCATGAAAATAAGCCCTAGAAAACACAGAAGGTGGACTAAGAACAGCAGACATCTTGCACTGTTGCCTCAGACGTTGCTGAAGACGTTGACAAACTAAGAGTTACCTTGGCTTATTTAACTCTGTAGTGATGTATTTCAGCTTTCAAACAACAATGAACTGAGGCATGTTGTCCTTTGTCCTCTTTAATCTATTCATCCATGTGTGCAGCATTGGCCACAAGTGTTAGAAAATGTCTTTTGCCTGGCAACTGATTTGGGGGTGTCTTTTCTCCTTTATGCTCTGATGTCCCTCTCTGTAGGTGTCCCAGGAAAGAGGAATGAGTTGTACTATGAATGCTGTAAAGAACCATACCCAGACGTGACGTACACCATCACCATGCGCCGACGCACCCTCTACTATGGCTTGAACTTACTCATTCCATGTGTTCTCATATCCGGCTTGGCACTGCTTGTTTTCCTTTTGCCAGCTGATTCAGGGGAGAAGATTTCTTTAGGTAAGTGCTAAAGAATTCATTTCTTTCATAAGCACTTCCTATAAAATGGAAAGTAAATACCTCCTGGTGCTTGATGAATAAAGATTTCCCTGGAGGAGCAATAGAAGCACTTGTTTTGTTGCAGAAACCAGAGTAACAGCTTTCTGTATTGCATTCACACATCCTGTGCTAAACAATTCTAAATGTTTTGGATTTTATCCTGGGATGAGGCAGAACTTGTCGCTGGCACAGGCAGCAGTGATAATACTCTGTAGTCCCTGTTGTTCTGTACTTTAGTATGTCTCAATGCATTTCACAGCTGATTAACTCTGTTTTTCAGATAGGACATACTAAGATACAGAGAGTGAAGAGTTGTGAGCAGCAGCAGCTGGGCATTGGATTTTCACCTTCCAAGTTCACCTCCCAAAACACCAAGCCATAAGTCCCCCATGAACACAAAACAATCACAGCCAATGAAAGGCTAAATGAGATTTGCTGTTGTGTGTGTTGATAAAGACAGGAGGGGTGTTCCCAGGAGAATACAGGGGAGAGCTGGAAATGCACAAGACTGTCATGGGCAAGACATTAAGAGTTAATTGTGCACAATTCCAATCAGGACAGAGACCTTTGAATCACATGAAATGTCCTCAGTGTTAGTAGAACAATCAGGGATCTGGGTAGCCTGTCTCACAAGAAGTAAAATACAGGCTATGGGGGATACTTTTGCTGCCTGTGAAAGATAGGGGGGAGATAAGGAAAAGAATTATTTGAGCTGAAGTACAATGATGACACAAAAATAGGAGATAATGTTCATGCATTGACCTTGAGATTTCTCAGCACCTTGGCAGTTAGGTTTAGCAACAGTCTTTCCAGACAGAACAAACAAAGAGCTACTTTTAAAACAGGTTGCAGCTCTTTGGAGGGTGTTATATAATATGTAATAACCACAAACTAGATTCATGTCTGTGCAAGTATCTCCTAGCCCTTAATAATCATGTGGGCTTTGTTTTCACTATGTTTTGGAAAAGCAATGTAGTTTATCAGTTCTGCAAGCTTCATTTCACTCAGCAGAAAATATTTCTCCATTACTTTAAGAAGAGCAAGGGTTTGGGTATAACTGAGAAAAGTGAAAAGACAGCTGATAAAGTTGCATTCAAAAATGCTCTCACTCTGTGGAAGTTCTCATCTACACTGACAGACATGAAGTCATGGGTTTGGCTTAGCCACAGATCAGGACAAGGCTATGTTTAACGGCAAAGACATCAGAGGAGCAGCTGCAGAATTCATGTTCCTCATTCTTCCCCTCCATGTTCACTCCCTGCAGGTATCACTGTCCTGCTTTCCCTGACTGTATTCATGCTGCTTGTGGCTGAGATCATGCCTGCAACTTCTGACTCAGTCCCACTAATAGGTAAGTTGATTTTCTCTGCTCTGTGCACAATGTATGATGCTTCTCAAGAGTTGTTCAAAGCCTATTTGAGGACTGACTCTTTTTGTTACTGTAGTTTTGCATTTCAGTAGTGTCAGGAGTAAATTTCTGTCTGGGCTTTCCTGTTTGCATGTATAAAAAGACCCTACAAGAGAGATACAAAAGGCTCTGGAAATATCAGATAAACTGGTAACTGCAAGGACTGAGGGGACACAGAATCAATACACAACATGGAGGTTTGGGTAGGCAAAGCACAAAGCCAACACCACTGGTGCACAAGCACAAGTAGGATACTGGAACAGTACTCAGCTCTGGCTCTGGATTCATTGAGTCTGTCCATAAAGTCCCTTCAACAGCTCTTTGGATGAAGCTGTGTGCACAGAGAGCTTTTGAAGGTTTCAGTGCTGCTGGCTAGTGAAGGTTCATCTTTCTTCTTCCACATCGCCTGCCCTCCCTGTTGTTATGCATCTCTTCCCCGCCTGTACCCTTCTACTCCTCTCTACTCCAAGAGCAAGTCAAGGTACTACAGTCAAAATTCAGATATATCACTGGAGCATTTTTAACATGTGCTGAAAACTATGGGACAGATTGTCATCTTGGGAACATGGGACAGACAGACATTGTTACATCCTCTATTTTCATAGGACCATCCCTTTCCCCTGATCTCATGGGGCCTCAGTTTCTCACGTGTGAACTGGAGAAAGCATTATTCCCTGATGTCATAGCAGGGTAGAGAAAATAAACCTGTTCTGGATTAGAAAATAAAGTATGAACACCACAGGGAAACACAGAACCTGTATAATTTTCATCTCCAGAGCTAAGATCTATTTCTGTCTGCAAATCATGACTAAAGTACACATTCCAGACAGTAGAAATAAAACATTCAACTATGTATCTTTGTGCTGATGGAAGGTGCACCTCACCATTTTATAATTAAAGCCTCACACAATTTATATCATGAACAGGACAAGAGAGCATTTACTCAGACAACCTCATTATCTCACTTCAAAGATTAAAACCTCAGACCTAACTGTGGGGAAGGAGGGTGACTCTGCAACAGTAAGCATAACAAAGCCCATAGGCAAGAGTTTCTGAAACCTCCAAATATCTTGGACATCTTATTGAAAGTCAGCAGGACTCTTGCCTCTGAGTGACACAGGAGCTTCCAAAAAACTAACAAAACCTTTCTCTGAATATATACCTAGGACTCCACAGAGACAGATACAATTTTAAGAGAAACTTTGTGTGTAGGGATGAGACACAAGGCATCTTGGACCAGTCTTCACATAATTTTGTTTTATGTAATACATAACAAAAGCCATCTGGAATTAGTAAAGAGATGCACTTGCCTATGCCCAGTCCACTAGCTTTAACCAGACCAATTTCTACTGACACCATCCCCTCTCATAGAAGGTAAGATTTGTACCAATGTCATGGTTTAACTCTAGCCAGCAACAAAGTACTGCGCAGCTGCCTACTCACTCCCCTGCTCCTGATGGGATGGGGGAGAGATCAGAAGAGTAAAAGTGAGAAAACTCATGGGTTGAGATAAGGACATTTTAATAACTGAGATAAAGTAAAATAATAATAATAATAATAAGAAGAATAAAGAATAAGCAAAGCAAGTGATGCACGATGCAATTGCTCACCACCCACCCACTGATGCTCAGTCAGTCCCTGAGCAGCAGTTGCTGCCCCCCAGCCAACTCCCCCTGGTTTATATACTGGGCATGATGTCATATGGTATGGAATAGCCCTTTGGCCAGTTTGAGTCAGCTGTCCTGGCTGTGGTCTCTTCCGCCTTCTTGTGCACCTGGCAGAACATGGGAAGCTGAAAAGTCCTTGACTTACACTTGACTTAGTGTAAACTATTTAGCAACAACTAAAACATCAGTGTGTTATCAACATTATTCTCATACTAAATCCAAAACACAGCACCATGCCAGCTACTAGGAAGAAAATTAACTCTATCCTACCTGAAAACAGGACAACCAAGATAAGCTATGAACAGTTATGTATTATTACAGATTTTGATGCTGTTATAACAGATTAGTTTTTACTTATCTCAACATAGCTATGAAAACATCACATATCAGGAGAGGGTGAGGGACAGTGGTATTGGGGAACCCTGTTGCATCAAGTCCCCCTTTTCCAGGTGAATATTCATTCAGCTATTAGGACCTCTCACGTCTTTTCACCCTTTTTGGACCACAAAGTCAAGGAGATGATAAGGGAGTCTCAAGGCAACATATGCCTTGTTGACAGCATATATTGTTGCAAGTTTTTTCCTAAAACCCAGATAATTAGAGCGTATGAAATGTATTAGAAACACACCTCCTGAAGTTGTCAGGTAGGTCAAACACAGTCTGTTTCTTTCATCTGTTCATTAGACAAATTTTGTATTATGAAACACTGTAAAAGAATAATCCTTGCACATAGATGCTTTGTAACACCCTGGAGACTGACTTCAGGTATCCAGATGAGGGAAGTGTAAAACAATCCTGTGGCTGCTGTCATCTGATTCTTCCCTGTTACAGCCCAAAAGCAAGATGAACCTTGACACATGAGGGTGCACTCAGGCTGCATGCTCTGAAACTCAACCACCTCTGTGCAATGGAAGCTCTTGTTTCATAGTAACACAAGATATTTCAGGTTGGAAAAGACCTTGGGAATTAGAAGACTGTGTCAAAAGCCTTGCTAAAATTGATGTAAATGACAGCTACTGCTCTCCCTTTGTCTGCAAGTGTTCTCATTTTATTATAGAAGGCAATCATGTTGGTCAGACATGATTTATCCTTGATAAATGCAGGCTAGCCATTCCCAGTCCCCACCTTTTCCCTCAAGTGTCCAGAAATGTTCCCCAGGGACTTGCTCCCCAATTTGCCCAGGGAACAAAGTCAGAATGACAGGGCTGTAGTTCTCTGGATTGTCCTTTTGGACTTTTTTTTAAGATGGGTGCAACATTTGTTATTCTCCAGTTGTCAGGGATCTTACCCCATCTCCATGGCATTGCATCTTAGGACTCCTGTTGACATCTATCTGGTCCCATGGACTTGGGCAGGTTCAGGTCTCACAATCAATCCCTGACTCCATCCTCATCCACTGCTGGTTGTTTTCTTTGTCCTTGAACCATGCACAGAGACATAGGAGACCTTGATAGTGAAAACTGGGGCAAAATACACACTGTCTTGGCCTTCTCATCTTTCTTGGGAGCTTGCATTCACATCAGTAACTGGCTAATCCTTGCCCAGCAGCATGTCTGCTCCTGTCCTTCTTCAGGAGAATCTCCTTTTTTTGGGGTAACAAGGTATTTCCAAAAACCAGTTTTCAGCAGCATGCATATGTGTGAAGCAAGGCACAGCAATCTTTGAAAAGTTGAATCCTGCTCTTCTGCAAACTCATCTGTGATGCCAAAGAAAGAAGTCTGGGAAACAGAGCAAAGACATCTCTGTTACTGTTTAAAAAATTAAACACTCATAGCAACAGAAACCAGCTCAGCCATTTGGATCAAAAGCATTAAAGTCCCATGACATCTACAAACGCAACAGTTTGGCTGGAATCCAACAAAAGTCAACTATATGAACAAGGTTTGTTTCACTACAGGGTCCTGAAGGTCCCTCCTGGCACTTAAAATCTCTAGAGTGTAGCTCCTAAAAGACTTTCAGACCATGACTATACAGCAGCAGCTGTGTCCTAAACTTACCCTACCTGGTATAGCTTAATCATGCCTCATTGGAAATATGTCTGGATGCACTTGTGATTTGACTTACTTTTAATTTCTCTCTTTAAAAATACTTTTATCAAGAGTTTAAGTAGACAGCTGGAGCTCATTACTTGAGGAAAGGATATACAGAAATGCAAAGAACTCCAGATGTGTTACATGCCTGAAATTACTGGTCTGAGTGTACTAATCCCTAGGTAAAATCATAAAGCCTGTGTGACACAGCTCAAGTATATGATAATGATTGTTCTTTCTATGCAATTACGAACAGATTTGTCTCTCACTATAAATGCCAGTAGTTTCATGGGGATTTCATGCACCTTCCTGCCCCTACCACATAACACCATTGCACCCAGTCTGGTGCATTATGTAAGAAGAGATATCCATGTCCCACTGTGTTGATTTCCTGGTTCAGTGACCAAATCAAAATTAAACAAATACTGCTTTTTCAATTAGAGCTTTTGTACAAGCTCAGGTCCTGCCCATTGAAACTAAAGGTACATTTGTGGCATTTAGATCTAAACTGGAAGGGCTTTTTTTTTTATTTCTATAAAGACTATGTGATACATGTAAATAGCACAGGATAATCAGATCCGGTTTTGGTAATGGTTTTATGGCCATCTCTGAAGAAAGGATGAGTTCCTTCCTTAGGCAACAGACATACGCCTGAATTCACTTTTTTTTAAAGAGCACTGTGCCTCCCTGTTTACAGTCTCCATATCCCTGACCTGTTTCATTAAACTGTGTTTTCCATTTGAAAGGAACCTTGTAATTAAGGCTAGGAAATAATGCATTAAGAAACCACTAAGGAACAAGTTCCCCTAAGTCAAGACAGATTCCTAACTGTAACTCTTCCCATTCACGACTATCCTTTGACTAGAGCCTTCTTAAGATTACACAGTTGGTGGTCATGCTTACCCACATTCACTGGTACCTGATAAAGCAGTGACCAGAATCTCATTCATCTTGCACTGCTGTAGGAATATCTTCAAAAATCAATGTCTCAGTATAAGCTGCTAGTTTGGACTCATAGACAGAAAAAAATTCAGCTCCTAATATAATGTTTAGTAACTAGCAAAACCAGACACTTGTCACAAAGACAGATCAATCCACAGCCCATGTTAAAGTCACACATGGCCAAGAGACAATGCTCTGTAAAATTGAGAGCAGCAGAGTTATGAGCATAGCCAGCACTGCTTCCTGACCCTTCTTTCTCCCCACCTGCAATATCGCCTCCAGAGGAGAAAACATTCAGGGCCAC